ATTTCTGGCATGACACCCATTGCGGTTACCAGGTAAATCTTAACAGAGCATCAAGATAGTAATTAAACAGATGACTCGAGCCGAATTTGTTTTTCTACTAAAGTGCAAGATGACGGGCCTAAACTGGCCATAAGTGATTCAGAGTGCATGGGCCAGGTGATTCATGCTAAGCTGTCAGCGGAGTTGCTGAGCTGGAAGTGAGGAGGGATTTCGGAGCTTGCATTAACTCTTTGGATGTCGACCAAGATAAACACAGAGAACTCCTCTCTAGATCACCCTGAGAGGGAGTATACTAGTACTTGAGAACTGTCATATGATGTCATTGCCAATTCTGAGCACCTGCAGGAGTACAATATCCAAAAAGAGGGAAGAAAGGGATCATTCACTGATATAAGGTAACAAAGGCCTGAAGACTAAACTAACACTAGCTAGCCAACTAACTATATGAGTAATTCATAGCATGCGTGGCAATAGTCTAGGTATGTCAGGGAAGTTACTTGGCAGGAATTTTGTTCACGTTACAGATTAATTATTTTAAGATACATTATTGACTAACTTAAACCTATTAAATTGATCTTTTGTAAATTAAGATTATAGATTATCCCAAGTGTACTTGGGAGGGTCAAGTGCACACATTCATGCACACTCTCAGCCATACAACTTTGGTAGGCTGGTAGGGTGCAGAGTTGCCTTCCTGTCTGCAGGAAGGGGTGCAGAGCAAGGCCTGGCTATCGATTCCATGGCCAACAGATGGCCATGGTTAATCCCTGACTATGTCTATGCATTCCCCTTTTACAGGTTATCAAAAAAATATATATCACCCTCTTTATATGTGTATTTAGAGCGTAATAATATGCATTTATCACGTGTAAAGTCTATTCCTTTGAGCTTATAACCTAGCACTTAAAGGCAGGACTTGCAAGGCTTTTAAGTTTTTGTTTACACCTGCATGAAGAATATGCCAACTGGGGATAACAGAATTTAAGATTTTAGCCCCATATGACCGTAAACTTGCTTTCGATGAATTACTAATTTAAGTCCACTTAAGTGAAATATTTGCAGTGAGCAACAAAGAAGAGTCTTAGCAGAACAGGTAGGGTAACAATTCATAAGACCTTCAAGAAGCATGAGGTGGAAATGTGGCTATTTCCTGAGATAGAAATGGTCATAACTATTAGGAGATACAGCATCTGATTTAAGGTGAATGATAAAGAAATGAAAGGCTTCCTTTAAGGGAAAAAGTAACATTTCACAATGAGCTCACAAGCAGGGCAGAGGTTGTTTAGTCTACAGATGAATGGCTTTTGGGTTCATTCTCTGAGGTGTTCGCCACACGACCTTTGACTAATTTGAAACATCAGGGATGATTTCCTGCCCACTATTTTTGCATTTATGCGAACAATGCACATAATCTGCCCGATCATATAGGAAGCAGGCACAGAAACATGATTTGATGTTTACATGGGAATGAGCAATACACTGAAGAAGTGTCTAATATGGAATTCTCCCTTGGAATCTCTCTCTCTCTCTCTCTCTCACTCACTCACTCACTCACTCACTCACACACTCACACACTCACTCACTCACTCACTCACTCACTCACACACACAAAATACAATGATGATAATAACAACAATCCCAAATCACTCTCGCAGCAAATACAACAGGCACAAATGAATTTGGTTGGCAGAAATTAGGTAGGGTTGGTAGGGTTCATTCCTTTATATGTTTCTAACCCTTTGCCATACCCTCTCCATACACTATCACGTAATGTAGACTTGCATGTTACATCTTTCTGTCACTGATACATACACTATATGGCCTAAAGTATGTGGGCATCCTCCTAATGATTGAGTTCAGGTGTTTTACCCACACCCATTGCTAACAGGGGTATAAAATCAAGCACACAGGCATGCAATATTCATAGACAAGCCACTACCCTTTTGCCCAAAAGTAATAAGCAGTCCACAGTATGTGACCTACATGAATTTCCCCAGTACGCCAAAGACGTACTGCTATGGCAAAATACTCCAGCATGCAGCCACAACTATTTCCGTGATATACTGCATCCCAAAATGCAACATGGCTGTACCAGGAGGACATAACCACTGATGTAACCGCCTGGATGTTTTAATAGCCCTGAATTTGACCTTTCTATATATTAATAAAAGCAAAATGCAAGACATTCGTCCAAATGCTGCTACACTTAGTGCAATGCTGAAACCACATCAGCTTTTCTTTGCTCTGTTGGTCTTAAGGCGGGTTGGCTTTCTTCATTTATTTAATAAAGTTAATGTACTGCATAGATAACACGATTAAAGCAGTAACTAGCTAAAGCTGTTCTCAGCTGAACAATGTGCTCAGAATCAGCATTTCAGGCTCATGTGTGGAGTCACACTGTTCAGTGTTCAGTCAGACTAGCTCATATTACCAACTGCAAGTGTAATGAAAATGAAATGACAAGCAAAAACAGGTTTACACACAGGTTTACTACACAGACAAATTCAAAGCTGAAATTTGGCACTGGAGACGGGCAGAAAACAACACCCTCCACTCTATCATGGTAATAAAAGTCACATAAGCACATCTCTTGACCAGAAGGCTCATATAAGCATGGTGGTCAGGTGTTCACACATTTTGGCCACACAGTGTACCATTCTTTATATATACAAATTATCTTTATAATAGATGTCCAGTGTCTCTTCTGTACTCTCCAGTACGCTTATGCAGATTTAAATGTTACCATTTTGCTAAATAGGCTAGATTTGCTAAAAGTGTACACTAAACAGCTAGATAGACTAGCAACATAACTATTTAGGTAAATGTTTAAAAAGTTTAAAAATTAGTGAACATATTAATGTGAACTTAATGTAAGGAAAAGTGAGGTAAGGTGACAGCATTCTGTGGACTGGTATGTGATATTTTATACTAGAAAATGCAAGGACTGAGTGTAAGGATACAATCAACAGTCAGTTGTAAACTGGCTCAAACAAAACTCACTTTGAAAACACTAATTTACAGTGTTCTGTAGCAATGGCACACTCAAACATTTGTCTATGCGATGGACTGGCGATCTGTCCAGGGTGTATCCTGCCTTCCACCCAACGACCGCTCGGATAAACTCCATCACCCCCCAGCCCCCGGCGACCCAGAGGGATAAGCAGTTCAGAAAATGTGTGTGTGTCCATGTCTGAGACTGTCCAAAGTCAATATGATAGCAAATAACTGTAGGGCTGAAGACTGCCAACAGGTGTCAGGGCAAGATGAAATTCATCTACTAACACAAACAAATCCTTCTCAGGACTGTTTTCTCTCATGGGTAGTGACTTAACCCTCTTAGCCAGAGAAAGTGCATACAACTGGTTGCCTGCTGTCACACATTTGAAGCATTTGTCTCTTAAGCAGCCCTAAGGGGATTTTAAAAGCTCAGGGTGAAAACCACACATGGTAGACCACCAGCTATTCATTCAGCAATTCAGGAGTATTATATATATATATATATATATATATATATATATATATATATATATATATATATATATATATACACATATATATATATATATATATATATATTTCATGTTTCTATTTCACACTACTGACAGTTTCTATTTCACACTACTGACAGTTCTATGTTACAGCATTGAGATTATAAAGTTAATTGTTTAAAGCACATGTGTCAGGATCCAGTACTTGCAGGCCAAAACACTGCAGACTTCTGTAAACTGCCTTATTTAATACACCTCATTCAGCTCATCAGCTAATTAGCAGGGCTTTCATTACCTGAATTCAGAGCATTAAATGAGGGTAGACGCAAATTTCCACAGCAATTGCGGAAATTAGCCAAGAAGTTCCCCAGTTTGACATGCCTGACATGCCTTTAAAGGTTTGCTGCAGACTAAATCTTGTTCTGGTGAACTGAGATTGGACTCTCTCTCTTACAATCTTGCCAGTGTGTTCTGACCTCATTTTCCTTTCACAAGATGCAGGTATAGGGAACATATCTATTATTACGACGATGCTACATGTAACTCTTCATGGGACACAGCTTTAGAAAAACCCAACTAGTGATGATGAAGGACACAGAATTGCCTGTATTTGTATGGTGGAAGTACACACCACAAAGAAAGCAGGAGGTAGCTACATAACAAAGGGCCAGTAGTACTTTTTAATGTTACACAAACACTGAAAAAAACAGAGAACCTACATCAAAAGAGCTATTCAAAGAGATAGAAAATAATGGCAACAACTGGCTGTAAATGTTATCATTCAACGAAAGACTTTTTTTCCCCTTAAAGCCCTTCAGAATGACCATTTCAGACCATAGCCAGATTTTCAGCGGTAATTGGTACTTAGGGACAATCTCTCTTAATTAGAAATTCTTTCATGGGAAAGTCGCGTCAGAATGGATTTCAATTAAAAGCAAAATATTAGCTACAAGATTGTAAATAACTTAATAATAGCTCAATAATTGAAAACGATACTGTTTCATTTGTCCAACATAAGGCAGCGGAAAGCTTCAATCTTCTACAAAGGATCTTTACTGTTTCCGGTAATGTTAAATAAAGCCTAGCAAAAACACACAAAGTATCCACCCTTTGAAAATGTCCCAATCAACAGCGTACGCCTGACAGCTTGGGCTCGAATGAGCCGAAGACGTAAGACGTAAACACGCTTTTGTCGCTTCAGCATCAGAAACGAGGTTGGCTTGTCAACGTTACTCAGCAGCGTGGAATAATGCTGCAAGAATACTGATTCCGTTGCCTCTTGCCATTTAACACTAACCGATAATCTAACCTAATAATCTAAACTGAGTGGTGGTTCATTCAAAGCTTTACTAAAGCAGACGCTAGGCTACAGTGTTTTTAAACTGATTACATTTAAAGAGCTAAAATACTCGCCCCGTCTTAGCTCAGATACTCGCTTTAGCCGACAAAGTTAAATTGAGTTTGTGTTTAGAGTGTAGAGGAGAAAACCTTTTGTCGTAAGTCTCTACTTACCTCAGTCAGTACAGGCGGAAAGTCCATTTGTGCCTGAATAATAATCTAGAGCAATCCAAGATTCCTGGATGGTTTTAGGTGTGAACCAAGCTTTATTTCCCAAACAGACAGCAGCCACAACGGCAGTGCCTCAACTCCAACCGATCTACATTCAGGGGGCTTCTGACGGAAAGAAACGTCGACATAAGCCCGCCCCTAGCGAACGGCGATTGGCTTTCTCCTGGGAGGACCCCGTTCGTGGTGATTTGTACGAGTTGCTGCTTATGTTGGCAATCATTGCTTCCACCGTATAGTTCCATAGCAGCAACACATAACACACATGCATTAAGCTATATACTGTGCAACTGTTGTAGGCCACAGTGTCTATATCTGCTAACGTGAAAAGGAAAATACATTGCAGTTCTTATTCTTCTTGTAAATGTGAAATTTCTCAACACCCATGTTTAGTTCTACGGTTACTGGATTTACGGTTCAATTACCCAGTTTGTCAATACTCAAGTAAAATACCATGTCATTTTTAGCTCCGTTGAAAGCAAAATAGAGTAGGGGTGAATGGTAGCCTATGGCATTGGCGTGGTGTTATTCTGAAATGGAACAAATGGACAAAATATGCAATACAACCTTACAACCTACAACCTTTAATGATGATAATGATGCATATGTATATATAAACACGAGACTAACAATTTACAACAATGTAACATGCAGAAATTCAGCAACTTAAAGGCAACCTAAACAATTCCACGTACAGCACAGCAAAATGCACACAGTTAAGAAAGATGGACGCGGGAAGCGGGGGTGCGAAGGGGCTGCAGCATCGCCTGATTTCTGGTTTGCAGGTGTTTAAATCAATAATAATTATAAGATGTTCTGAACTTTATAATCATTTGACCATGGTAAAGACCTATGTGTGTTTGTTGTTAAAGATTGGAGTTTGTATTATAAGATTTTAAAAATCAGCAGAAGCCCTACACTGTTGAAGTGAACGCTGAAAACTGTTGGCAGCTTTGGGGCCGTGTGGCTCAAACACACGAAGGTTGAGGTGCAAAGACAGAAAGCCTATGCAGAATTATAGACCAGTTATGAGTCTCAGTGTTTCAGTGTTAAATCTCACCGTGTCACTGTACTCGTGACATAATGGGTTACCCCGCCACATTTCTACAATCTGATTGGTCATCACTCAGCTCATTTGCATAAGTTCGTCTAGAACAGCGGTCGGCAACACGCGGCTCTTTCACAGTCCTGTTGCGGCTCCACAGCAGAATTAGATTTTTAGGTAAAAATACAATAATTCTCCTTTGCAGCTCTGTTGATCGTTCAAACACACTGTTCTAACACAGTTTTAGCAATAACCGTCTTACACGCTGTAGGTAATGTAGCTTATATATTTGCTAATTGACACTTTAACCGTGAAAGTTGCCGCGCAGACTGCAGGTCACAGCAACACAGACAACAATTTTGGCTAGCTAGTGGCTAACGAAAAGGCAAAGAGAGAGATTTAAGATGAACATTGGTAATTTGGAGATGAATGGACTTATTTGCATTTATAAGCACTTAGCAGGTTTCCTGCAACGAGAAACTGTCAAACGTTAAAAAGTTAGGGAGGCTGAAGTCAGTCTCTTGTTCGCCAGTTCCTTGTTCGAATTCTCCCATTCCACCTTAAATGAATGTAACTGCTGCACCATTTAAGTTACATTCATTCAAGGTGGAGCGGGAAATTAGAACAAGAAGCTGGTGAATGAGAAGCTGACTTTCGGCCTCATAAAAATCGAATGTTGAGAGACATTTTAGAAGAAGCTATTCTACTTTTGAGGAGAAGTTTCCTGTCAGATGCGAGAAATGCAGCTATAGCTGAACTAAAGCTTAAAGCAAAGCAAAGTAAGTGTGCATTTGTATTTATATTTTTGCCTATACTAGTACATTAACACATACTGAGACATATTTACAGCCAAGGTGGTAAAATAGACATAAAATGTTGTGGCATACAAGGTGGTTTGATTTTTGTCGAGAGGACAAAATGGCTCTTCTTACCATTTGGGTTGCCAACCCCTTGTCTAGAACGAGAGAGCAGAGAGAGGATGTGAGCCAGTAGTCTGATGTCTGTTATATGGTGTATATTGCTATCTCCTTATAACACTATTTGACATGTTCTGTTTGACGCAAATTAAACTAATAAATAAATAAAAATAAAAAATCAATTAAAAAAGGCAAATCATCTTGCTTAATGGCATCAGCCACGTAATACATCGCTCCTTAAAATTTCAGCACCCCCAACTTAAAGTACCTTTCGCGTCCCTGCTAAGAAAGCTTTTTATAAGTTTAGTTTACAGGTTTTACAAATGTGCCAGTGCAATGTATTTTTTATGTACAGTCTGTTACTGTCATCAAAACACTTTATAGAAAGCACAGACGAACATCTGATATCACTCAGCGCAGGTTATTCTAAGGATATATTTATATCTGAAACACATCCAAGAGCTTTAAACAGCAATGAGGAACCATGTAAGCTGATTTAGTTGCAGTTTTGACTTCTCCCAATGACTGGCAAAGGAGATGACACAGAGGAAGCTGACCCTAGATCAGTTTTATGGTAGGGGTAGCTGTAGGAAGGCACCAGGAGCAACCTCTCCTCTTCTTTTCTGCTTTCTGCAAAATGCACCCTGTGCGACGAGTAGGCCATCTGGTGGCATCACAGGAAACTGTAAATTAAAACTCCTATTGCATAATGCTCAGGATTTAAATAAGTATTTGTAACAGAAATGAACAAATGCCATATTTACACAACTACTGTACTGTGCAAAATGTCTTAGGGTATTTAAGCATATTATTTACAACCCTTTATCTTGGTGTGTTTAGTACTACACTGCCAGGAGATGAGGTTTAAAAATAGTTAAACAAACACACTGGCATACACAAAATCACTACTTACTGTATTATTATTATTATTATTATTATTATTATTATTATTTGTATTTACTGTGCTATTTGCATTTTTCTGAAAAAATAAATGCTTACTGGCTGGATAGATAGCTTTAATATATCATTTTCTCATGTTCCTGCAACTTTTGCACAGCACTGTACACATTTATATGTCAAAAATTAAACAATACATGTATGTATAACAGGTGAATATCAGACTGACCTAAAGTATTAACTCTATCCATGGAGTGTAAGGGACACTGGTCCTTTGTTGATCTGTACAGACAATCCTGCAAAATGGCAAATCTGAAACAGACTACTCCTTTCCTTTTTACTTTAAAGTGTATTGTTCACATTAATCTGAGAGGGGCTAACAGGCTATTTGAAGCTTTTTTGGCTGAATACCATTATATGTACACAATTTAATAACACATGTCAGACAGATGGAGCTATTGGCTGATAACATTAAACCTTGTAATGCAGGCTGTTTGTCATACATGCATTTGAAACTTCACATTTACTGATTAGAGCATGCAAGATAAAGTGATAAGTAAGTTAGTGTGGGGTACCAATACAAAATCACAAATGACCACTATAAACCACTTACTCACACCTGTCTTCTGACCTCTTTTCTTTCGACAGCCCAGTCAGATGCAACATCATCCACTTTTCTTCTCCAGATATCATCCAGTTCCTCTTCTTCCTCCTGGAACTGCCAATGAGAAGGTTGTGGTACTTCAACCCCGTCTTCTGTAATTGGAGCAGCAGGTGACTGCTCTTCCAGACCACTGCAGCACACTGTACATTCTCTTTCACCACAGAACACTACACGATTTGACTTGTTTGATCCTAGCTTGGAATCAGGCAGCTGGTTAGGCTTGTGTTTGATTTCTAACAACACAGAATTTGTCTTCCAAGTCCACTGCATGTATCTGGATGCATGGTATATATGTCCATTCAAATCCATGATCCTGCTGTGGACACTAAGGCACTTATGACTGTGTGATGGACCAGTACTGCTGCTGGAGGTGGTTGTGGGTATGTGACCAACTACAGTTAAAGCTTCTTTGAACTCACTGCTTTGTTCACGACTAGTGTGTTGCCCCATATCTTGCTCTTTTCCCATTTCCCAATGACAGAACTCCTTTGTAGAGACCATCGTCCCTTGTGCATGTGTGTCATGTTGCTGCTTCTCAGTCTTATCACTGGCATCCAATATTAACTTGTCTAACACATAAATTGTTTCATGGTTTGACTTTCCTTGTAAAGTCAAAGTTGGCTGCACCTCCAATGCCAACTGCGGTATCTGATTAAGAGTTAAATTTGAGGAGCCTACTGGCAAAGCTGCAGGTGATGGTTGGTTGTTTGAGCCAATTAAAACTGGAGTGGATGGAGGATGTTCCTCTGAGCTCTGTAGGTCTGCATCTCTACCGTTAAGCAGCATAAAATCTTGGGGGAGAGAGAAGCTAAGTGTGGACCCCAGAGATAGATAAGAGCAGATATTTTTGATTGGATCTCTGGGCACTGCTGACATTGTCTGAAAATTATCTCTCAAAATATTAACAGGGTTGGATTCATCTGTATATATTGCACTAATTGAGTGCTTTTTTATAAACACCTGATGTTCGCTGTTGGTTTGATGCTTTTTCCCATGTTCATCTCCTTCTGGCCAGGTGTTAGCTCTCTCTCTGAAACTACATGGTGAAATGCTGGATTGGGTCATCAATGAATTGTCAGATCTCACAGCGCCAATTGTTGTGTGTCTCCTCTGGTTGCTTTCTTTTCTTTTCATTTGTTGCTTTAAGGGTGCAGCAAAACTTGACCTGGTTGTTGCAGAACTGTGCGCAGTTACAAATCCAGATAAGGCTTGATGGTAGAGTGAGGAAGATGAACATCGGGAAAATAATGGCCCTGATGTGGAAAACATCTCTGAAGGCTCGTCTGCAGCTTTTAGTCTGTCCGTCACATGTAAATAGGTGCTTACCTGAGAACAAAATAGAAAGGAACATTTCATTTTACATCCTTTCAGAGAAGCTAAACATGGTGGAAATCATATGCTACTTAACTGTCTGTAAGAATTGTACCCAGCTGTGATGGCAACAGCCATAGCTTGAGCATGACTAATGTGACTGCATGCCAACCTAATAAAGACTATAGTGTGGCATGCAAGAGCCTCAAAGAGCATTTCTGCTCAAATTTCAGTTCAGTCCAGGGTCCCCATACCCCACTGTGACATTTTAAAGCAGTCAGAACCATGGAAACTTAATCATGAGGTAATACTTTCACCACATGGACAAGGATGTACAAAGAAGGGAATAACTTACACACACAAATATGCTGACACACAAATATGATTTGTGGGTGAGCTCTTAGCTCATTTCTGTATGTGAGTAGAGCTTAACATACTCGATTTGTAGATCTACGTACCCTATGCATTACTTCAGCTGCCCCTACTTGCTCCAAAGGAATATGCGTTTGACTGTTGCTTGGTGACTTCTGCTTTTGGACTTGCTTTATGCCTGCTGACTGTTGATCTTTAACTTGATTCTTGTCTGGAAACTTTAGACTCAACTGTGCACTGCATTGCTCAGAGATGCTTGATAACTTTTGTCTTATGTCTTGATTGACAACAATTAAATAGTTTTGGGATTGATCTGCCTTTTGTGGTGATGATAAATTTATTTGATCATTGCCAATCAGTTGTTGCTTCTCTGCTAAATAGTTTCCTGAGTCATCAAACGCTTGTATGTTATTTGATGACTGCTGATATACTTGAGTAGTTGATGATTTTTGCTGTTGATGATGAAGACTGTTACTGGGTGATGATTCTGCTCTTTCTTTCTGTTCTGTTCCCTGTTCCTTGTTGTTTACTGGGGCCTGCAATGTAATCTGATTTTGTTGTATTTGGATGATTCTTGGTGACTGTTGCCATTGCTTTTCATGCAGTTGCCACCGCTCTTCATCATTGGTGGGTGACTGTTGTCTTTGTTTCTGAATATTGTCCAGTGGCTGCTGCTTCAGCTCTTGGTTGATGACATCTGACTGTTGCACCGGTAACACGGGTAGTGATGGTTGTGTATGCTTTGGCTTGATGCTTTGTTGCCTATTTGTGAGATGGTTGCCTTGTGATTGTTGCACTTGCATATTGATGCAATTTTTTTTTTTCTGCTCTGTGCCTTCACTGATTACTGTTTCATTGCACTGTAGATTTTGCACTTGATTTATGTCTGGTAATCGTTGTGTGGTGACACTGTTACTGACTAATGACTGATGACAATGAATTTTATTATTTCGTGGTAACTGCTGCATGTACACTTCACTGCTACTAGGTGAAATTTCTTTACACACTTGACGGATGCCTGATGACTGTGCACCATAGCTCAGGATAAGGCAGATGCTACTGCCCAGTGAGGTCTGAGCAGAGCAGGGCTCTTGGATAACAAGAGCAGGGTCATCAGACCTTATGTTCTGTTGATCCAGCAGGCTCTCAACACCATTTGTCACTTTCTGATTTTGTGAATGTTGATTCCCTTCATTATTCCGCATCTCTTCTCTTTCTATAATACAAGAGTCATTCACAGGATCCACTTTTTCAAATATATTTTTCCTTTGACTTTGCTCTCTTTGAGTCTTCCAGTTAACCTGAATCCATCCCAACATGCTTTTCAGCTCATCAGTCCTTTCCTTAATCTGAAAGAGAGAACAGCATAACAGTGATATCATCCATTTAATCAACTGCAAAATGCAGCTATTAAACAAAATGTGACTATGGTTGTCAAAGAGGACAGTCAGACACTAACAATCTCTGCCAGGTAATTTCCCTCTTCCATCAGTGTCTGACCAGCTGTAGCCAGCTTATCAAACTCCAGTAATTTCTGTTCAATTCCCCGATCCATCTCTGCAGCTTCACTATGCAGAGCTGCACTGCCAGAGAGAATGCAGGACCTTGTGCTCTCTGTCCAAGCACTATAACACACACACAAACACATTCATGGCTGACAAGTCCATTGAACACCTCTGATATCAATAGTTCACTGTAATGTAGTAAAAGCAATAGTAGTGTAAAAGCAACAACATCAGAAGCCTTCATTCATACATTGTTGCCAGGTAGTTCTCAAAATAGTCCCGTAGTTGTTTGAATTTTTCCAGATGCTCTCTGTTCTCTGCCAGGTTGTGACCAGCTTCCTCCCAGGCTTGTTGGACTGACTGGACCTCTTCTGTGAGGTTACTCTGCTCTGTTAGAGGAACTTGTAGATGCTTTACTAGGATCTCCATACCCTCCACCTCTCCTTCAATAAGGTGATAGTCGACCTGACAAGGACACATTTTACGTCTTTTGTAGTAGCCTACTAAGCAACAGAAAAATAGTGTAAATGCTACAGTACACTAATAGGCAACCCCTGTAGCAAAAACATTTTAACCAAAACTTTCTAAATGCCTCAAAGTGGGCCTACAAATAGACACCAGTTAAACAGAGAGACTGACTTCCAAATCATCCTGCTCTTCCAGTAGTCCATCCAGTCCAATAAGCTCAGGGTCACACAGCATGGTCATGTCAGTTTCCATGTCCAACATATCCATGCTAAGCTCAGCACAACGGGAAAGATGTTGGTTTATGCGCAGAGTTAATGTAGACAGCTGCTGAAACATATATAGAAAGTTATATACTAAAAACAAATTTATGAACACGGCATCATGACCATTGAGCATATTCAACGATGTTAGTTAATTTCCACATTTCATGCTTTTGTAACAAAATCATTCTCTACCATGTTCAGTAACTCCTCTTTTGTTTGGTCATGGTTGAAGAACCATCCTCTCACATTTGGACTGCCAGGTACATACGGTAAAGCCTCATTACATTCAGAAACAGTGGAGCCATTCTGAAGAGCTGGAATGTCCTAAAGAGAGTTCACAGATTTGAGTGCTTTGAAAGGTGTCTGAAACCCATAACTCCATCTGTTAATTGCACAATTACTGGGGCAGTTTGAGACTAAATCAGCTTTTGCTTAATTGCTCTTCAATAGTTATGCTTTAAGATAATTACAGGGGGGGTGTTGGGGTAGTGTTAAATTGAAGAACAAGTCAGAGTAAAATTACAGGATATGGCAATGACATGCAGATTCCTAAGTTAACATGATAGTTTGCCATTTTTTTTATTCAAGTTCTATTAAATGTAATTTACTTTATGCATCTCATGAATTGCCTTGTGATCCAAAAGTTGTAGGAACTTTGCAAGCATTCCAGAACTGTACACATCCACATTCTCTGGAGGGCAGCTAGAGTGAGGGAGTTTTAGAACTGCCCGTTCAGCCACATCATCTGTCAGAAGAAATTCTTTTTCAGCTGGTTCCACCTCTGCCCCATGCCCATATCTCTTCCTCAGACCTTCCCAAAGCACTTCAATCTTAGTACTCGCGTGTTCCTGGGATTGCTTCAAGTAACCCCTGTCCACACCACTTTGCATAGACGTGTTGTCTTTTAACCAAGAACAAGTCTGTTATGGAAGGAAGAAAAACCCTGAATAAATGGTGAGTAAACATGAACAACAGATACAATTAGAGAGTGTGGCATTTCTGTTCCCATCAAAAAAACAACGGAGAAACTCACAAGCTGATCAACTGATGCTGTGGAATCTGCTAACAGCTCGTAAAGTTTGAGAGGCTTTTGGTGGATGAAGCTGTCTGAGAGAGCCTGTTGGTCCTTACTGTAGAGCAAACACATAATGTAAGTATAAGTGAAAATTTTCTCTTTCAACAGAATTTAAAATGCAGATGGTAACATTCTGTCTGTACCTTTCTGAGCCCATGATCTGCTTTTCATTGGTGTTATCTACTTTACAGCAGCTGCCTTCAGAAAGTGAGGTTCGACTCATTGAACAGCACTCTTCAGTTGGACTTAACATTCTATAAATCCATGGATCCTGACAGCACTACAGATGAGGACATCAAAATGTTTTTCAGCTTGTGCTAATGCTAAAGTGTAGCTACTTCAGTAAGGTTTATAACATGTTGGCTTACAAATAACAGCAGTTGAACTGTTTCTAAGTATGTTTTGTTTCATAATGCTTGACTGTACACACAGGAATATCTGATCTTAGATCAGCAATCAGCAAAAGCTTTACATACAGGCCTTTTATCATAAATTTCTAAACATAATCAAATCTTTGTAGATGTCTAATATTTTTGAGACAATTTTCTGACCTCAGATTCTCGCAGGTGATTTTGTTCCTCTTTAACATCTTTTCCCATTACACCAGGAAGCTCAAGTTGGGCTAAGTACTTTGACTCAGTGGATGTGGTTTGAGAACCAACATGTCCTTTGGGTAAAATGGCAGGAGGTTTGACAGGAACATCTGCTATCTGGTTTCTAAAAGGAAAGATGTGTTATTCTGGGTTATTCTCAAAAGTCACTGACAGTACAACATAAATCATCCTTGCACAAAATCTTTACAGTTTTCTCAAGTCTTAACAAAGCATGCATGAGGATTCTAATTTGATAGCAGGCATCAATGGACTCATCTGCCTAAAAATAGGGCTGAGAGTTCCCCCTACACTACAGCATAAAAATTGATGACCTAGTGAATGCTGACTTAAGACTTCGATTTAAAATACTACATCTAATTAACAGATAGAGAACTTCATATGGCCACTGATTGGAGTGATTGTTTTGTGGCTGAGGAATCATTGTTGGCAGGACATGTAAGAGATGAAGTCGTCCACTCCTTAAGAGGTTAGGTCATACTTTCAGGAAAGGCTGATGTTTTGAGAAGGGGTGATTAAAGAATAAATGTTAATAGCAGGGAAGTGTGACAGTCCATAGATGAGAAAAATGCAGATGTTAATCAGTGCTTTTGGCTTATTCTCACAGCATTGTGTTTCAAAAGAGTATGAAGAGATGTTTCTGTGTTAAGTGTTAAAACTTTAGAAAATTTGAACCATGACACATCATACTCAGTTATGAAAGGGCCTGTATCCTATATTAATCTTGCATTCCTCTTGCTGGGCATTTTTCCTCTGAGGTCCATTTATAAAGCTTGTGTGATTTTATGTACCAAAAACAGCCATAATTAATTTTACCTGACTGTTTTTCAACACTGAAACATTCCATATAACTTTAGCATTAATAGCCATGGCTAAACTGTATAGGCTAAATGGACGGATATATGTTGGGTTTTGTGACAAAAACAATGAATTGAAAATGTACTCTTTTTGCAGATTAGATTCCACATGTATGGACTGTATTGACTTGGGAGTGAACAGTATGTTTTTGAACCTTTAACAATACTTACATGATACATTAAACTCTTTTATTTAAATAAATTGAGGGAAATTCAGTTTACCATGATATGGGCCTTCTAAAGATTTTAGACCTGATTTACCAAACAATCCTATCCCATTGTGCATTGTTAATGATAGTCATCACTTAGTCAATATTACTCACTCCTTAGTATCACCTCCATCTGTGCATATCAGCACAGTGTGTGAAACAGTAGTGTTATATTGCTTTTTGTGGCTGATCTGTATTTCTTCCTCTCAGTACATCATATCCATAAGTTATTCCAGGTCACATCAGCTACAGTGCTCGGACAAACCCTTCAGCATTTATCATATAAATCTCCTCTTGACAAACTCTCTCTTCTGTACATCCATAACTGCTTGCAGACCCACCCCCATCCTGCTGTCTCTGTACACGTGCATAGGTCATGCATCTAAAAGTCTAGTCATGCTTAATTCAGGGTAATTTCACTACACTAAGAATATTTTTGGAATTCTGCTTCTCAAGCTATTGTTAATATCTCATGCTAACAGTGTTTATTTTAATGATGTAAGCCCTATTCACTTTTCCCAGTTAGTTCACACTCTGCTGGAGTTTTCTTTAATGGAGTGATCTAATTTTTTGGCGTTTTTCAGGAGCTAATTTTAAAAATAATTCTTCAAATGATCATACTTGTTATGATCACACTGTTATAAAAGGCCATGGACAGACCAAACACACAAGGCCAGATTTGTTAATTAAAAAAACCTGGAGTACACACCAGAGTGGGCTCACTTACATCTTATTATAGCTGACAACTTATTAAACTCCCAGGGATTCTTGCTAAACACTTGTAAGCCTCCAGTCTAGTTCATGCTATATTCTCAGCCCATATCACTGTGGGTTCTAATTGTTAGTAGAATGGGTATGTACATATTCTAACACCGGTGGCTCTGTGTGTTTTCTGCTACTTATTTTTTTGCTTTAAAAAAAGGTGGGACCTTTATTTTTTACCGGAGAGCATCCTGGAGAAGTGCCCAGCTCTCTTTCACTTCTGCCTGTTTGCATGTCACTTGGCTGGCCAAGGTTGGGTGGAGGTTTGACAGCTGAGCCGCAGACTCGTTGAGCATCTGGAAAGAGAGTTGTCCAGGGGTGGGGTCATGGAAGGAAATGACACCATTCGTCTGGAGCTGATTTGTTATAAACACAACAAAATAAGCCCACGGATAAAAGTACAGGACCCTGTTTGTTTTGCAGTTCTGGTGCCAGGAGGCAAAAGGGAAATGACACAAGACAACCAATCATGCCATGTGCTTGGAAAATCCTTTCATTCTGAGATAATGCTTTCTAGAGTGATATAAAGCAGTGTTTATATATTCACCTTGATTTGGCTAGCTATCTCTCTGCCCTCATTCTCTTTAATGCTGCCTTGGACATTTGCTACATGAAGGCTGCTCCTCTGAAAAATGGTAAATGGAAAAATGGTAAAATCAGAAAATTGTGGAAGCTGTAATCTGTTTTGGAATTTTATAGTTTCCCACTGCAAAGTACACTTAATGACTCAGAATAACCATGAACAGTAACCCTGACCTGGTCTGCTTGCTGGTAAAATGAAGATACATCCAGCGCCAGCATGAGATCTTGCTGAAAGTCTTGCAGGAGAGACCTGAATTTCAGCCACCTGTTGTGAGGGTACAGTGGGCTCACTTCCAGTTAATTTTAACAGACTATAATAGTTTATATTATAATAATAATAATAATAATAAGAAGAAGAAGAATATCAGAGTCTAGTTGAGTGCAAGCACTGCCAGTATTCTAGTCAATGTCTTACAGTTTGTCAATGTGCTCTCCAATGCTGAGCCTCCTCCCAAGTATCTCCACACCCAAACCTGTTGTATTGGGCTTCTTCAGGGCACTCCCTTCTGGCTCATCCTAATTCAACAGTAGCAGGTAAATTGGAATAGCATTTGTCAGAGCTGTGCATGACAGACTGAGGTAGACATGTGTATGAACTATCACTGTACTGAAGCTTTTTTCACCTTCTTCAAGTCAAGATATGTTGTCAATTGGATGAGTGAGTTCTCAAAGTCCTTGAGGTCTTGCTGCTGGCTGGCAGACACATCCTCAGGGTGTTCTAGAGGGAATGCTGGGATGCCATTGTCATATTGAAGATTCTTCATCTTCCTCTCCCTCCATGGTTCTGACTAAGTCAAATAAAAGAAAAAAATCAAGTCAAACTAAATTAAACAGTAAAATGAGGAGAACTCTCTTGGTAAAAACATGTTTAACAACTGTTTACATAACACAAGCAAGTCAATGTACACTATAGTGCCAAAAGTATTCGCTCGTCTGCCTTCACACGCATATGAACTTGAGTGACATCCCATTCTTAATCCATAAGGTTTAATATGATGTCGGCCCACCCTTTGCAGCTATAACAGCTTCAACTCTTCTGGGAAGGGTTCCTCAAGGTTCAGGAGTGTATTTATGGGAATTTTTGACCATTCTTCCAGAAGCGCATTTGTGAGGTCAGACACTGATGTTGGATGAGAAGGCCTGGCTCGCAGTCTCTGCTCTAATTCATCCCAAAGGTGTTCTGTCGGGTTGAGGTCAGGACTCTGTGCAGGCCAGTCAAGTTCTTCCACACCAAACTCGCTCATTCATGTCTTTATGGACCTTTCTTTGTGCACTGGTGCGCAGTCATGTTGGAACAGGAAGGGGCCATCCCCAAACTGTTCCCACAAAGTTGGGAGCATGAAATTGTCCAAAATCTCTTGGTATGCTGAAGCATTAAGAGTTCCTTTCACTGGAACTCAGAGGCCGAGCCCAACTCCTGAAAAACAACCCCACACAATAATCCCCCCTCCACCAAACTTTACACTTGGCACAATGCAGTCAGACAAGTACTGTTGTCCTGGCAACCGCCAAACCCAGACCCTTCCATCAGATTGCCAGATGGAGAAGCGTGATTTGTCATTCCAGAGAACACATCTCCACTGCTCTAGAGTCCAGTGGCGGCGTGCTTTACACCACTGCATTCAACGCTTTGCATTGCGCTTGGTGATGTAAGGCTTGGATGCAGCTGCTCGGCCATGGAAACCCATTCCATGAAGCTCTCTACGCACTGTTCTTGAGCTAATCTGAAGGCCACATGAAGGTCTGTAGCAATTAACTCTGCAGAAAGTTGGCGATCTCTGCGCACTATGTGCCTCAGCATTCGCTGACCCCCTCTGTCATTTTACGCGGCCTACCACTTTGTGGCTGAGTTGCTGTCGCTCCCAATCGCTTCCACTTCGTTATAATACCACTGACAGTTGACTGCGGAATATTTAGTAGCGAGGAAATTTCATGACTGGACTTGTTGCACAGGTGGCATCCTATCACGGTACCACACTGGAATTTACTTAGCTCCTGAGAGTGACCCATTCTTTCACAAATGTTTATAGAAGCAGTCTGCATGCCTAGGTGCTTGGTTTTATACACCTGTGGCCATGGAAGTGATAGCAACACCTGAATTCAATGATTTGGATGGGTGAGTGAATACTTTTGGCAATATAGTGTATTTCACTGCTAGAATTTCTTAATAGTATCCTTATGCTACGTCTCTGTTGTTCACTGTATAGTGCCAACACATTCTACAACAATGATCTCATGCTGCTCATTTATGGATTTCTTTTTTATCTATTCCAAAACTCTTATGTTGTGCACAGCAACTGTAATTAATGCACCCATATCTGAACTGTGTGAGGCCTGGCATTCCTCTGGCACTTCAATGAGTATTGCTTTCTTTAGTTACATACTGTACAGATTAAAGAATAGCCCACAAGGAGCTGATAATTAGCAGAGGTGCCAAGAAATTCATTGTAAACAAGACTATTCATGACGTATCACATTTCTTTGCCATGCGATTTTCATTTCCTTTTATGATACACCTGTGTTTAAGAGTCACACTTCTAGATGTTACAAAGTCTATTGGCCTGCGGCATCAAGTGACAGTGCCAAATATTGATCTAATCACAACAAATTAACCCATTTTGTCATAGGATTTATTTTCTTTAATTTACCCCCTCTGTGTGTGTGTCCTGCACACTCGGTAAATATTAAAACTACCAACTACACTGACTACATATAAATATTTACAAAACAGTGCAGTGTGGGTCATAAACATCTTTCTCTGTCCACAATCGTGTCAGATGTGAACAAGAAAAGTACAGTACAGTAAACTTTCTTTAGCAGTGCAACTATATACTAACTTAAAGATATCTTTAGAGTAGTAAAATGTGTCTTAGCAGGGACTCTTTTTTGTTGACCCATTATATTTCGTAAATGCAGCTACTTCAAGGTGCACTAATTACTGACAATAGTTTGCAACTGTGCACACAAAGCTTGTAAAATCTCCAAAGAAAATCATTTGCCAGTATAGAATGAGAAGCTCTGGAGCAGCCATGCTTGAGCCTAAAGTCTCTATGCCAAATGCCAAGCATATACAGAGGGGAACAAAACTCCAAAGCATTGGGCTGTGGAGTGACAAAGCACCATCAGATACCCTTGGGTTGAGTCTGAGTGGCATTTCTGATACAGAACTAATCATCAAACATCAGTACCTGACCTCACTAATGCTCTTGTGTCTAAATGCAATCAAATCCTCTCAGCATTGTTCCAGCAGAAAGCCTTCCAAGAAGAGGCTTACTGTAGCAGGACAAACTCTATATTAATATGCTTGGTTTCAGAAGAAACGCTGAATAAGTAGATGTCTTCAAACTTTCAAACATACAGCATCTTAATTTTTTAATCGTGTCCTCACAACTGATGGAGCAACCGTGTCCTGTCCATTCATGTTTTTTTTTCCGTTAAAAGTAGTCTATAAAAAGGCAATATTTTATTGTTATTTTCCGCAATAGAGCCATTTTGCCTAAAAACCTTTGCTGAATATTTAGAACATGTGGTGGACTTTTTTCTTTTCTTTTCTTTCTTTCTTTCTTACTTTTTTTGTAGAAATTACTTCATCTGAACTTAAGACGTGCATAATGAGGGCCTATCTATGATCTCATCTCTGTACAGTGTGCAAAACTCCACATTTAATAATGGACTTTTTTCCTGACTTCTAGCATGGACAATATGCTGCTGTTTTACTCTTTTGACACTTTAAGAAAAAAGGCAGTGTATAAGGAAACATTTCCAGACATACTAAAAAAGCTTAAAAACTCTTAACACTAGTATAAATGTCACAGTTTTACAGTATGAATGCAGAACAGTGCCTGAATATAATAACCTATTCATATAATTGTGACAGCAATTTAAATATTTTGTGATAGTACATTTAATTCGCACACTGTTTGCACAATTCTGCAGACTGCTCTGGAGCCAAAGCATGCGGTAAATTAATAAATGTCATTTATTTTTACATGTGTAATGTGTTTTTGCATCTACTCTAGCTTATAACTGAATACAAAAATCTTATTTTATATGTGGAGGCATATCTTAATGGCCTTGGGCTGTATATATCAATATGAAAAAAATTACTTATATCTATATGAAAAATGTGTATAATATGGGTAAAATGTCATACCTCTGAATGTGGAAGGGACTTGTCAACAAATCTCCCCTCAAGAGGTTTTTCACTTGAGTTGTGTCTCTGGTTAGGCTCATAAGTAGTAATGCAAGGGTCTACAACTCCAAATTCACCCTCTGTCTCAGTGCTTCCACACATAGCAATTTTTCTGATGGACCTTGAGGAAGCTGATGGATGCAGAAAGCCCTTTTCTTCTTCAGGACAGTCCTCCATTGGTGTAGGATCGTGTTTTGTGGGCTGTTTCTGGTCATGAGAAAAGGACATTTTGTCTTTCCGATTGCTCTTCAACATGCAGCCATCCAGAACTGCGGCAGGAAAGATGTTGTCCACATAGTCCTGGCACTTAGCCCCAATAGGGACAGACAGCTTGGTCCCAATGGTAAAAGGCTGGATTTTCTTCATTCTCTGTTCTGATACTGTTTCTTGTTTGTCTCCGGATTGGCAATATGAGGAACAATAGGAAGTCTCAAAAAGCAGATCATCAAGAAAACTCCAACAAAAAGTATCTTGCCAGTTGTGACAGAAAGCTAATGATTGCTCCCGTAGTTGCACTGTAGAGATGCATTGTAAAAAGACATATCTGATACAGTGCAGAGAGCACGGCTGTTAGTGAGCCAAGCAACAGCACATAGAAGGAAATTTGCAAAAAAGGGAGTGCAACTGGTGAAAATCCTGAGTCGACTGAGAGAAAAAAGAGAGGGAAAAGAGAAGAAAGGAGGAGAAAGAAGGTGGGAGTTAAAGCAGAGTGAGGTCATCACTTTCAGTTATGTCCTGGGTTGAGTAGAGGGAGAGAGAGCTGTAAACTTGGGCTGTAAAAACTTCCTCCAAAAATAAAATGCTGTGTAGATGAGCGTAAAGTAACAGAAAAAAACTCCCCAAGGTCCCGCTCTTTTGAGTGGACAGTGACGTAACGCTTTTACAAAAAACATATATGTTCACTTTCCTGAGCATTTGTCTTTTACTTTTTCACTTTTCTCCTGCTCATCTCACAGCACTTTTCTGGTTATTCTTTACCTATCATGAGTATTCAGAACCTAATTATTTAAAAGCTTCAGTTGCTTCTACACGCCAGAAAAGTGCTAATCTTCATATAATATACTGTGACTTACTAAAAGTTTGCTCACTCTTTGACATTAGAACAGTTACATGGCACCTAGTAGAGACATTGCTGGAACATTACTGTGAAGATTTGATTGAGTTTAGCCATATGAGCATAGTGAGGTCAGGTACTAATACTGGATGATTAGTAAGGAGACGTGTTTAGATGCATTGTATCATGTCTGTTACAGCACTATTATCTAAATATTTACAGAGCAGCAACAGGGAAAACTTTGCACATTCTGGCTGTGGCCTTCTGATTGGAACCAGGTGTCCAGTGAAATGTGTGTTGGAACAGGCTACTGTAACTTACTCTGTTTTTCATCACAGCACAAAATGAAGTGATGGTTCTTAAACTCATTAAATATAGTAAGTTCCTAAAAAGGAATTATTTTGAATGACGTCTTATAAACAGTAAATTGTTTTTCAATTATCTCAGTTGCACCAATGGTTTCTAAAGTTTGAAGCAAAGATTACTATTATCTATCTCTTGTTGCAAGGCTGCAAACAATGTTTGCTATTCCAGACTGAAACACAGAGGAACGAGATGCAATGAAACCCACACCATACTAAAAATGTCATAATACCATAGTGTTTATTTTTGAGAGAAAGAGAGTGAGAGAGAGAGAAAGAGAGAGAATTCCTTTAGGATGGCTCATCATCTGGCTTGTCTCTTCCTGACCGCCGTTGAAAAAGAGTGTGAACAAAGGAGCTTAGTCACAGATGATTTGTCTTGCAATCTTCTTGTCCATGTGCTGTGCCTGAAAGGAGAATGCAGCAGTATTTTAAAAAAAAAATAAATATTCCTGGTTTCCTTGCCATGTCATAAAGCTTTCTGATGAGTAAAACTTTACATTGCAAGTATAAAACCCTTTCTGAATTTTATTCTGCAGCTGTTAGCAATAGTGAGTGTATTCTGGGTTTGTGGTTTAGAAAGGACTACTTTATACTGACAGTCTTATGCATTTCATTGCTGTGCTGCAATAGCAGTTTAAGATCGATTACAACAAAGAATAAGTTGTCCTCATAATATCAGTTACATTGAAATCCTAATTTGATGTGATAAGGAGAAAGCTATGAAACAATGCTGTCAAAAAAAAAAACGCTGTATTCTACAGAGCCCCAGAAGGGACATGGGGGAAAAATTACATGTTTTTTCTATGATGGATAAAAGAAAAACTCCTGCCTGCGAAATGATCTGAGATTGTTTTGTTCAAATTAATATATCTCAGAATAGTCATCTCGAGATAATCAAGAAGTAAAGTTTTACTCACCAGAAAGCTTTATGTCATGGCAAGGACACCAGGAATGAATATCCCGAGACAATGAATCTGAGGACACAAAATCTTGAGATTTAGGGAAATCTTAAGTACATTACCCACTCTGCCCTGTAAATGGCACCAATATGCCATTTAGGCACGTCCGTGAAGCTGCCTCCCTGGCCCCATGTGGTCAGAAAAGGAATAAAAATACTACTATTTGTTTGTGCTGGTTTTGCCGTGGGAATCAGCGTTTTTGAGAAATTAAACATTATATTTTATTATCTGTGATGTCACTCAGCCCCCCATCAACGTCTAAAGTGCACAAATATTCATTTGTGAGCTGACTAAGAGTGATGATTAAAAATGACTACTTTGCCATTTAATAAACATTTTCAAAACGAATCAAGGGTTGTTGAGAGATTGCACAGTTTAAGGAATAAAACATTAACGCTGGTCCTTCAATGTATCATGTGTGCTCCTGTTAATTTGTGACTTATAAATAAATAAATAAAAAATATTAGACTTCAATTTAAATTTATAACTATCCAAAATTTCAAAGGTGTGCTCCAAGTCATTTTTAAGTTATGATTCTTTTAAGCTTGCCCAACTCAAAGACTAAACTGCGCTGGAATGTTAAATATTAAAAAAGAAACTACCTTTAATAAAATGGTGCAGAGCTTCTGGAGCATTATAAAGCTTATTTTGAAAAGCTGTATTTGATTTTTATTGTGCGTCTTAGTCAAAACTGTAATCTTCAAAAAAGATTAAACCGTTAAGGAGTATCTAATTATCATTTCGCATGCAGGAGTTTTTTATCCATCATGGAAAAACCCATGTCATTTTTTTCCCCCATGTCCCTTCAGGGGCTCCGTAGTGTTCCACATTGTCGTATGTCTTATTCTCACGCCAGCACTGTGACAACGTAGTGGCGGAGAACTTGTAGAGAGGAGAATTACCACTCTGCAATGTCTTCCGGGTTTCTCACTCCCGAGAGAGTCCAAAAATGAATTGGTTGATATGGAGCATTTGAGCAAAATCATAGTTTATAAATGCTTAAACATTTTTAATGTAAAAGAATGCAACCATTTTCAGAACACTGAACAGCATAAAACATTTTAACACTGCTGTTCTATTTTTAAGAGCTTTTTAACTCGTGTTATAGGAGTTTATAACGACGCCTCATGATTATTGGCTGTGAGCGCGAGCAGCCAATAATCTGCTCTGCTCGCCAGCCAATCAGCACTCAGTAGCAGTAATGCCAGCCCTCTGCCACCTGAACCCGTTTGCTGTAGGAAAAAGGAAATAAATAACTAGGTAAGTTTTCTTTGCTTTTTTAGTGAAATACATCCTTCTACTTGCACAGAAACGTTCTGTGCAAGTGATTAGAAACTATTTTAACTTTTCGTTTTTAGCCGTTGAGCTCCATTTTCTCCCATTCATTGAGGACTCCCTCGCGGGCGCCCTCTTTATAAGGGGGGAAATAGGAAGTGGCCAGGCTCCTCATAAACCCGCTCTGGTAGTGGAAACGTTGTCAATACGTTGTCGCAACCTCATTATTCATAACGTTGTCATACGGTGTTAGAACAACCTGTTAACGACTTAGCAAAATTCCATGGAGTTCCATGCACAACATGATGGAACATATAAGGAGTCTAAGAGGTTGTGACAACGTATTGAAAACGTCGCCTCTACGTTTTGACAATGTATTTGCTGGGATATGCCAGCTTTTGAAGAGTAGAGAAATCGCCTTAATATACATATACATAATTAATATGCATATCTAACTATAAATGTGCAATGTTCACCTATTCATTTCCATAACGTAAGCATTTATGCCATCTCGCTCAAGAGAAAATGACAATTTTGCGTGTCTAATGCACGTCCAAAAATCTTGAAATGCAGTTTTTATACAGAAACCTAATCCCTTAGCATTTTTAGTAATTGTCGAACACTGGCTAAACCGAGGCTGCTCTCATTCTCGGGTTCCTCTTGGTGGAGCTTATTATGCAGTCCACGTGAGAACGGTTACGAAGCTCTGATGAGATCTGCTTACTTGATGTGTTAATTTCAGCTGCATTCTACTGTAAGTACACCTAACGTTAATTCTCCCTGACGCTACATGTACACGCTTGAGAAAGTTGTGTTTTATTATAGCTATATGGAACTGTAAGTTTGCATACTTTGTTTTAAGTGTGAAACATACAGGCCTCTCCTAAGCACCGGTCTCTGACGGAGAATTACCCCGAAATGGTCGCGCAGTCTGGGATGTAGCTTAGAATTCTTAACCTAGCTAACTGGAAAGCTGTTAGGTTAAGTGACTTGAAATTTAGCGACTGTCTCTAACTCTTTATACACTGTATATGACTGTTTTAGTAATGACAAATAAAATAATGGTTAAACACCATCTTATGTAAATATCCTATGTAGCTAGTTATGTGCATATACTATAACTTTTAGTAGTTCATAGTTATATATTCTTCGTGGGCTAACGGTATTGGCTAGCTGGCTAGCTACATCGCTGGGCTTTTTGGCTGGTTTTCTTAGCAGCTAAGCTTGTTTAGCTAACTAAAGCTGCCTGAAATACAGGTGGTAAATTCTGTCTCGTACCCCAAAAATTCACTCTATATATTTTGTTTTCCAAGCTTCCTAGTACGATGGCTGACAAGAATAAACAAACGAGTCTGAAACAAAGTTTAAGTCGCAGTGATGCAGGCCATGGTCAGACCATTAAAAAGGCAAATAAAACTCGTGCCATAACAAAAGGGATGGCCACGTTGGACGAAAACAGGTCTGACGACGAAGAGGATGCTTTGGAAATGGAGAGAAACTTCGCGTTATTCAGTAAAAGAAGTGTAATGCCAGCGCCAGAAGACGGGAAGGGTGAAGAGGAAATGAGTCCTGGGGCTTTGGACGATGAACATGTTGAGGATGACGATGATATTGTGAAAGAACGGTACACAAAGAGTAGTGGTGATATGAGTGGGCCAGATGATGATTCTGATAACTATGCAAGAGACTCAAGACCATTGGAGGATAACGGCACAACTGCGAAGTTACACACAAGTGATGAGTTACAAAGAGGTAACGACGAGATTTTATAGAAGTCTAGTTCTAGTACAAGCTGTTCGCCATAGCGAACGCCCTTTTCAGTGTTTCTGTTTCATTCACGTAGACACATGCGCAAATGATATATTTATCAATGCGTTTTTGAACAGGACTGTCAGCACTGTCTTTTGAGGAGATTATAAGGCTGCAAAACAAAGTGGGGACTAAGGCATATAATAAGATTGCTTACGGGACAATGAAGAACAAACAGACCGCAGAACCTATAAAACGACTGAACAAACACAGGTAAAAGGCTTCTTATTTACCTGCATTATGTCTTTTAACAATGATGTAAATCTTGCCTTTTTGTCTTCACGTCAGCTCCTTGTGTTTTCACAGACCCGATGAAATTTCTGCTAAAAAATCAGTTCCTTTTCTCAGAAAAGTTGTGCCTGTTAAGAAAACTGTAAGTTTTAAAAAACTTTGTACACTCTAGTGTGTATATGACTAAACAAGCTGAGACTATTTTAGAATGTGTGTTATATGCATTTTCCAGATCTTAAGGGATCCTCGTTTTGATGACCTATCTGGTGACTTCAGACCAGAAGTGTTCAAGCAGACCTACAAATTCATTGATGAAATCAGACAACGAGAAGCACAGGTTTACTTAAAATCTTGAAAGCCTGGCTAATTTTTGTCCCCTGTTATTCTTGGGTCTATTTTGCTCTTATTTAAAACCTATTAATCTCTTTCAGACGGTGAAGAAAAAGCTGAAGAAAGTAAAATCAGATACTAAAAGAGAAAAATTGAAATTGTTGCTTAAGAGAATGGTAAGAATGAATGCTGTGTCAAAATACACTTGTTTTACATGCTGCTGTGATGAATCTGAAGAATGTATGTGTGTTTGGTGCGTGTATGTTTTACAGGAGAACCAAGAGCGTGCCCAGAAAAAACAGGAGCAACAGAGGGAGAAGGAACTTCAGTTTAAGAGGAAACAGAGAGAACTAGTAGGACAGGGGCACAGACCTTTTTACTTGAAGAAATGTAAGTCTGGTCATGGGCAAACTATCCTCTTAATTTTGTTGTGATATGTATTTATTGTATATTTCTTGCCCAGTGATTTGTTTTCAAACTTTAGGGCTGGCTCGAATCATGTAAATACTCTAGTGGTCGTTAGTTATGTTGGCATATGGTTCTTTATTTACTATTTGGGAACTTCTTTCAACCCACAAAAATCAGCCTAAACTATAACACATATACAACAAAGATCTCAAACAGTTGTCGAACAGTTGTTGTTAATATGTGGAAAATGTTAAAAACTAAATGAAATAATAGCTCTTTTCTGATAGGGACGTGCCAGTACCACTTTTTCCCTTCCAGTACCGATACTTGATCCTTAAGTAGAGGCTGATACTGAGTATTGATACCGATACTAATCATTTGCAATGTAACCAAGTATTAGAAACAGAAAACAAAGGATTGAAAAGAGTAGTAAACATTTAAATAGCAAGAAGGTAAAACACAGGAACATATTAAACAAGCAAAAAATCATAAAAAAAAAAAAATGAACTAGTAAGTTACCAAATTTTAAAATTAAGCATCCAATGATGTTGCGTTAGCAGCGGTTCGAAAAGATGAGGTGGCAAGAATCTCTGACGAAGCGTGTGCTAGCTTTCGCCCTCCTAGTAGCAGTACTGTGTGATTGGGAGAGTCCTAACTAGTGGGTGGAATTCAATACATCTAAATTGGGGGGGGCTAATAAAACTAAGATCAAATGAAACATGTGCAGGCTTGAGTAAATGTGGTTAGCAATTAAAGGTTTAAAATGGTTGAGTGACACCAGCCTGCAGAGCTTTAGAGTAAAAAATTTCCAGCTCACTGGTGCGCTATAGCTAAAAGCAGATTTTCCCAGTTCATTAATAGCTCTCAGCTCTTGAAGGAATTTGTATTTAGTTTTATATAATTAGTAATGACAACCATATTTAACAACTGAAATAAATGTAAAATATTGTAAAATATAAAGATAAACTTGTACAAAAAGTATAAAGTGGTATTTGTATACATAAGCGGCAACAGCTTCTCTGCCTCAACAAAAACGGTGCTGAATGTTGTTTTGCATCCAAATTTCTCAAGTCATTTATCTCCTTCACCCACTGCGTTTGCCTTTTCACAAAACACTGACATTACAGATTTTGCCATCAGCATTTTTACTGCTGTTTGTCAACCCACGCAACCAACGTGTCGTTAAGTTACATCTACTGATGCACATGCTTGCAGCACCTAGCAGCATGTATCAGAAATTGCTCCGTGGTATCAGTCACAGCTATCGGTATCCCCATTGCCGACAGCAGTACTGCGTTGAAGAGCCTGTACCTGCAGTGATGCCGATATGATATTGGTGAAGCTCTACATAGCGGAGTAGCATTATGCTCTGATGTGGCTGATGCTAAAGTAAGGGGGCTCAGAGCCTCAAACCTGTTAATTGAGATTTCTGGCTGCTCCCTGTATTGTAGAGGTAAAGTTCAGTTTAGCCAGTTAGCAAACACTTAGGCCTCGGACTGAAAACCACATTCGGGAGGGTGGAAATCACATTTTCAGTGGTCCCATTTCTTTGCAGCCTGTGCCCTCTGAACACTGTACTGAGTCTAGGAGGACAGGGTGCCAAGCAGTTTCCAGGGCATCCCTCCTTGTGTAGGGACGACTATGTAGCTCTTAAACTTCTGCTCCACTCTTGTAGCTCAGCTGTGACGGAGTTCAACTAGGCCTTTGTGTTGTCTTCATCACTGCATTTAATAATTTGAAAAATATTGAACTAGCCAAATAAAATCACCCGATAAAATAAAACAGAATGAGTTAAAATTAAATAAAACGATAATCCTAATTTGATACACCCTTATGTTGCGTTTACACTGGTTTGGCATGTCAACGCATCGCAGTGTTTTCCATTTGTTTTTAATGGAAAGCGCCGGTTCTGTCAGAGGCAGCCATGCTGTGCATGATGTGCAAGGATGCAGCACGTAGAAAAGTTGAGCGGAACTGAACTTGATGCAGATGAATCCAGCCAACACAATGCTTCTACTTAATCTGGAGGCAGCTGGTGTTTGCGTGATTCGTGTCTGTCGCTCAAGATGTGAAACATGGGTCCGCTTTAAATGTTCCCATGCGACAAGGAATACCAGTGGCAAAAGATAATGTATTTAAACACAACTGTTTACCTCTTAAATTAAAATCTGAGCGGGAAACGATCGGTTGGATGATAATAAACTGAAAATGTCAACCACAAGTGGTAATCAACAAATTTAATCCTAATCTTTCCAATTTACTTATTTTCTGAAACTTAATGTTATTATCTTAAGGATGCATACTACATTGGCTTTCTGATTATTAAAAAACAGAAGCATTACTTATGTAAATATTAACTTACCAAGACTACATTTCAATTGGATTTTGCAACGAACTCATAACACCCACATAAATCCAGACTCTGGTCACACATACTATCTCAGTAACATATTGTCACCTGCTGGATACATTTTGAACTGCACTAACAGATCTACTCAATTATGGGTAAATGTAAAACATAAGTAATGTTGTTTTGTAAGAGTTGTTTTGAGAACGAACATTCACACTCGTTCCCAAATACCAACAAGTATTTAGACAACATAAAATGCTGTTTGGACCAGCCCTAATAACATTTTTGGTGTTTCTCAAGACTTGATTACTGAGCAAAATTACCATAAGAGAGTTATAAATGTTAATTTTAAATACATGTTTTTGTACATTACCTTTCTTAAGCTGAAAAGAAGAAGTTGGAATTGGCTGAGAAGTACAATGAACTGAAAAAGAGTGGGAAGCTGGAGAACTTCTTGAGCAAGAAACGGAAACGCAATGCCATTAAGGATCGCAAGAAGCTGCCGTATCAGCATAAGAAAAACTGAAAATGGACCACTTAAGACATCTGAATGCAACCCTTATGCCTGTTATCGGACAGCCTTTGTGTGACATGATACAGATTCCTGAATGTAGAGACTGGACTGAGAAATAATGTTCCCTGCACAACAGTGTGTTATGAGACAAGGACCTTGTGTGATGACATTGTGTTTTCTAGTGAGAACTGTGCAAAATACAGTATTTTGATAGTCTCTGCTTATGATAAATTGTGAAAAAGAACAGAGTATTTGGATTCTTTTGGATCATTTTAATGCATCATCACTGTTTTAAACCTTGCACTAGATGGAGCTGTTTATTGCTGAATATATTATTACTGAGTATATAATATTTTGCTAAACTAAGCATTACATATTGTCAGCAGCCACGCAGATTTCTGATTTTTCCCACAGCACTTGTAGCCCTATAATACTGTTTATAGTATTAGATCTTGGATGAAAGCTAGATGAGATGACAGTGTACTTGTGTTTGCTACCCGTGGGATTTTCTGTTGGTGTTTTACAGGAACAAGATTGGTACAAACATAATGCACAGATGTTTTGTATTGGTATTCCATATCAGCAGATACTTGGGGTCCAATGCTCAGAGTCAGTACAAATATTAAAAAAATAGGGCCACAAAAAGCTGTTTCAAAGATTTGCTGTAGTATATTGTTAATGCAAATCTAAAGTGTGCAATTGTCTACATTATGAACAATGTATTTTTGAATGAAAAGTTATTATTACAATTTCCTAGTCTTGTCAAGGTCAAGGGTAAGAGGAAAGTAAGCTTCATTGCTTTGAATCTGCAGAGGAGTGGGACTTCAGTTTTCAGTATGAACCTAATTTAATAAAGTTTTGCCACACTATGGGTTGGTTTCCTGGACACGGATTAAGCCTAGTCCTGGATTACACAGTATTCAAAATGGAAATTCTCAGTTGAAAGGAATGTCTAGGACTCTGCTTAAACCAAGCCTAAATGTCCAAAAGCTTCTGGACACTGAAATCATTATCATCAGGCCATTAATAGGGATAGGGATTTTTTTTAATGGGGATTTTGCCCCTCTGCCGCAGCCTCACCTTCTCTGGGAAGGTTTTGCAGTAGGTGTTGGAACAGCGCTGTGAAGATGCAGCCACAAGAGCATTAAGTAAGGTCAGGTACTGATGTCGGTTGATTCTTTCTGGATCCCAAACACCACTCGAACTAACCAAAGGTATTTGATAGTGCGCCATCGTTCCAGAGAAGGTAATACTGTGGAGCTTTATACTGCTCTGTATAGGTGTATGTACAGTAGCTGAATTCACTGTTGAGAAAAGGTGTCTGCAAATGTTATAATGACATATAATGAATATTTTTGCAAATGTTTAAGTACATATGTAAAACTTGCTATGTGAATATAGACAACAAATGTTTTTACTACTTAATTAGGCTATTTTTTTTATCTTCTTTCTTTGATGTTAAAGAAACGAGTCAGAGAATCAAAACTTCACTTTGCTGGTTCTCCACACCCATGCTACAGTGATTAGGCTTGTAGGAAGATTAAAGGCCTCAATCTTTTAATTACATTTGCATCTACCAAACCGGACAAATGGCGCAATATATCTTAATTTGCTGCTCCTTGTGGAACTGTAGTCCATCACTTATCACATAGTTAATATACCACAAATTTAAATAAAGTAAAATTTATCCATATAGCACTTTTTACAACAGGTGTTGTCATAAAGCAGCTTTACAGAAAATCTGGGTCCAAGCCCGCATGAGCAAGCCAAGGGCAGCAGTGGTAAGGAAAAACTTGAGAACAAGGGGAAAAAACCTTAAATCAAGACGCAAAAGGCAACCCATTCTCTTCTGGTTGACACTGGATAGCAAAACAAAAACACAAGAGCTGAATGAACAATGAGCAGAGGATAAGATTTTACAATGAACATGGTAATTAATTATATTAATCAAAACATTAGATATAGAGAACAGGAAAAACGAACCACCCTATCACTGGACATAAGTATTGAGATTAACCAATGATAACCGATGACTACTGTTAGAGGCCAATCAGAGTAACAACGAGAAATACATCAGTGAAAATCAGTCACTGTTACCAGTGAAATCCAGTGACTACTGTTAGGAGCGAATCACAAGTAAAAAGACTATGAATGTCAATAACCACTATTAGAAGTCTACAATGATGATGATTTTCTCATGAAAATGAGAAAACCTTAAGAGTATTGAGAGATAGGGGACGCAATGTCTGTGATTAAATAGTTTGTGAGGCAGGCAAAGCAATGTTTATGATTAAATAGTTTGGATCTGTGTTGCAGCAGTATCATCAGGATGGTCAGTGGCACAGCCATTTAGCTCCATGCTGGTCAAACTGGTCCAGAAGGTGGATGAGCTGGGGCACCCGATCAAGGCATATGACACAACCTTTTATCTAACAGGAAAAACTTACCAAAGGCTTGACTAAACAAGTAGGTTTTTAGCCTAGACTTAAAACTGAACATTGACTGGAAGGTCATTCCAAAGCTGGGGGGCTTTGTATGAAGAGGCTCTACCCACTGATGTAACTTTATTAATTTTAGATACTAGAAAAAGTCAGCACTTTGTGATCTAAGTAGGCTTGACGGATCATAATCAGAGATAAGTTCAGGCACTGAGGGATGAGGGAGTTTAGAGTTGTGATAGTATCGTCTAGCCACTCTGTAACAGTGTACGCAGATGATATCTTGTTTTTTCTTTCAGAAATTCAAAACTCACTCCCTGATACAATGCAGATTTTAAAGAATTTCATTTCCATTCCAGTTTTTAAAATGAATCTAAGAAAGTCAGCATTAATGCTAATCAATACAGAAAAGGACAAGATGGCACTACCCCAAGAAATTCCTATTGCTAGTCAAGTAACCTATCTAACCTATAAAAACGTCCATTGCTGCAATTGCTAAAATAAACTTTGTCGGAATTTTCAAAACCATAGAACACAACATTAAAAGATGGACTACTTCCCCACTAGATGAATGTTTTATCATGCATAAATTTTGTTAATTCAATGCTACCCCTATCCCCTATCGGTTGGGTTTTGGTCTAAGATGGATTCTCAAATTACCAAATATATCTTGAATGGAAAGCATCCACGTATAAAAAGATCTGCATTACAGCTAGGCAAATCCAAAGGTGGGTGGGCCTATCCTAATAAAAAAAACTCCATTTCCAAAAAAGTTGGGATGCTGTGCAAAATATAAATAAAAACAAAATGCAATGATGTGCAAATCATTTAAACCCAATATTTCATTAAAAATAGTACAAAGACAACATATCAAATGTTGAAACTGAGAAATTTTATTGATTTTTGAAAAATAAATGCCCATTTTGAATTTGATGCCAACAACACATTCCAAAAAATGTTGGGACGAGGGCACCAAAAGGCTGGTAAAGTTGTATAATGCTAAAAAAAACACCTGATGGTTAATTGGCAACAGGTCAGTAATGTGATGTAATGTGGGTATAAAAAAGCATCCCAAAGAGGCTGAGTCTGAGTGCTCACCACTCTGTGAAAGATTGCACAATCAAATCGTGCAACAATTCAAAAATAACGTTTCTCAACATAAAATAGCAATTGTTTATCATCTACTGTACATAATAACATTAAAAGATTGAGACAATGTGGAGAAATCTCTGTATGCAAGAGAAAATACCAGAAACCAGTATTTGCTGGCTGTGATCTTTGGGCCCCCAGGTGGCACTGCATTAAAAGCATACATGATTCTGTAGAGGAAATCACTGCATGGGCTCAGAAACACTTCTGAAAACCACTATGTGAAAACAGTTCATCACTGCATCCACAAATGCAAGTTAAAACTCAAAAATGCAAAGAAGAAACCATATATAAACAGGATCCAGAGATGCCACCGCCTTCTCTGGGCTCAAGCTCATTTAAAATGGACTGAGGGGAAGTGGAAAAGTATTCTGAAGAGGTCTGACGAATCAACATTTGAGATTCTTTTTGGAAATCCTGGACACTGTGTCCTCCGGGCTAAAGACCACTCTGCTTGTTATCAGTGCACAGTTCAGAAGTCAGTTTCCATGATGGTATAGGGGTGCATTAGTGCGCATGGCATGTGTAACCTGCACATCTCTGAAGGCACCATTAATCCTGAACAATGTTTTGGCAACATATGCTGCCATCCAGATGACATCTTTTTCAGGGAAGTTTGTTTATTTCAGCAAGACAATGCCAAACCACATTCTGCACATACCACAACAGAATGGCTCCATATTAAAAGATTCCAGGTGCTAAACTGACCTGTCTGCAGTCCAGACCTGTGACCACTGAAAACATCTGGCACATTATGAAATGAAAAATATGACAAAGCAGATGCTGAACTGTTGAGCTGCTGAAATCATTTTTATAATTGGTCATTCACTTTGCGAGCCATTAAACACCAGCTTGACCCAAACTCTAACCTACCCTGCCGAAAAATATAACAAGAAATGGTAGCCCCAATTCGATTAAAGGATTTTTTTATTTTCGCAATTAGGTATGGTCTGGTAATGACGCATATGCTTCAAACCTTTAAAGCAGCAGAGAAATACATGGGTTTACATATTAAATGGCATAAATTATCCCCAATCTGGTATAAAAACAATCATAAAAACAGGTAACAAATCTTTTATCCAAAACTCATGGGCAGAAAAAGGTATAAGGGTTCTTGAAGACATCAATGGCAGCAATTCTCTGAGATCTTTTGAGGAACTGGTTCCACATTATGGGATACCTAAGCATTCTTTATTCTTTTATTTTAGACATAGACCCGCATTGAAATCACATAATGTCAAATGGAGCTCAGACTTGAAAGACCATCAAATAATTAGTTGGATCACAAAGGCTCCCAAAAGAATAGTATCATTTATCTTTGTTTATGTCATATATATCTGTAAATATATCTGGGTAAAAGGAATGGGATAGAGTTAAGGAACTGGGAGGCAGGTAAACTGGGAAATTGTATGGGCTAATGTTTATAGGGCTTCACATAACCCGAATCATCAGTTCATCCAACTGAAAATATGCCACAAGGCTTATCTGACTCCCAGGGTAAGATACTTGATGGGTTTAAGCCCTCACCCCTTCTGTACTTTCTGTCCACATGGGACTTTGGGGACTTTTATGCGCATTATGTGGGACTGCCCATAAAGTTTATGCTTCCCCATGGACACTGAACTTAATTTACTGAATGATAACTCTAAATTCCCCATTACGGAAAATATGGCTGGCTGGCTTAACAGCAGCATTGGCTACCCCCTCACAACCTGTCCATACGGCACTGGCTCCATACCTTATTGGATATCTTATATCTGGAACTATCATCTGCAAGAATTAGCAGTGCTGCCCCTAGAACTCTTGATACATGGTTCACAGAATATCTAAAGTCAGGACCTTCATGCTTGCTTAACCATATGCTGTGTTTAAGTTGGGAGTGATGTAACTCAATTTTTATGTGTCTTATGTTGTAGCTATGGCCATTTTTTTTTGTCCTATGTGTGTGGGTTGGGGCTGGAATGAGGGGTTGTTTTTCTTTAAATGGAAAATAATTAAAAATAATCACGAAAAAAAAAAATTACAGCAAACCTCTAAATAAGGAATATTAGGCATAATCACTAGATTTAAGAATTTCACTTGCCAATATAATTTTTTGCAGTGTAGACTAATTTGTGTCACTAATTTAAAAACATGCACTGTCTAGTGCCTAGGGCCCCAGA